GACAATGGAAGTATACTAAAATAACGTTTGATTCTCCTAAGATAGTCTAACTTACGACCTCCAATGCCATGGTCTTAAACATCGGTTCTTTGTATACTCTTATTTTGATTCACTTTCGAATGCGAACACGTTGTCCAATACAATATGTTCCTCTAAAATCACATATTATTACGAAACAGTCTACAAAGAGGAAGAAATTTGTTTCACTGATCCTTTTTAACAGTACCAATTTAATTCAAGAAAAAACAATATCCCGGAAACTTTCTCAGACAAATGTATCAACCGCGTTCTTCGACCAACGTCCAATGTCATCTTTCTCTAGGAATGTCGTAGCGGATGAAAGCAAAACCGGCATTGCGAGGCGAGGTGCAGCGATAACTAGGCTAATAGCTGTGATAACGGACGCCCAGTAGTCGCGGTCGAGGTCTGAATGCAAATCCTCTAACGGGAGGCACGGGCCAGTGTAACACGGACGTGCAACGTGCGGCCCCCGAACTGGACAAGTCGGCCGTCTGTGAAAGGACAAGCTATAGTATCTGGATCAGCTACTGCTATCAGTCATATTGAATTACAATAATTTAAAAGACTAATTATGTTGGACACGTTCACTGAAGCACAAATAATGCCCATCCCAACGATTATTGACAGAATAGATTGGTTCAGATGGTAAAATAATACATTGTAACAACCGATGGTTTTGTTACGTCATGTAAATTGTCCTAACTTAATATGCACTTTGGCTTATAGTGGTTAAGGACTGGTAGCCTTAGTCTAAAGTTTACTTGTTTTATTGCTGCTTTCCTCGAACCTGTATTATGACCTCCGACCAAGGATTCAAAACCATACCAAATTCCTTGGTTGCTGGTCCTAACACAATGGCCTTAAGTACAGTAGGTAACCCATTTCAGTGTAAAAATGTATGTTTTTATCTCAGCTTGAATGAAATTGAAATTCCTAGGACAACTGATCCTCTGATAAGAATAAGGTCACTATGAAAAATATTCGTATGCATGGAATTGTTTTCGTTCATTCCGACTTGAGCGTTCTCCTACGTTTACTCAGATGCAGGGCCCTGTGGCTTTCCTGAGCTGTATCTCAAAGCCACCCATCACCAAGTCGAGACAGATATACAGAGGAGTGTCATAACTCGTCGCATACAACCTTGACCACGGTCCACGACCCGCCATAGTTCTCGGGTCACCGGTTCACTCTCCCCGCGACTTTCATCTGATCCGCTTTTCAGTTGCAAAAACAAACGAACCTGCCACCGAAAGCATTCCCGGCTAATTAAATTAGCCTATCGTTTTTCCCGGGATGCTCTAGGCCGGGGAATCCATTACGTGGGTAATTGGCTTTGGCTAACGAGAAGAATCCGCGGCCAAGGCGCAACGACCTCCATTGTTTTGCCGAATTGTTCCCACTGATGGTGGATTTATTAACCGGTTAGTGGATGCCGAAGCGCCGGAAGACATAACCTGGGCTGAGTGGAGGTCTCCGTAGATGGAGTGACCGGTGGTGAGTGGTCAACGTGGTCGTCGGTCGCGGCAACGGGACGACCACCGACTATTGTGTACTGTATCGGGAATCGTCTACAACTCAGTAGTTACACTGTGGTTATTCCAGTGAACCTAGAACACATTGTTAATGTGTATTTTTCATCAGAAACAACACTCTTTCGCACCTTCTTTCATAATAAATTCACAGCAAGGAGCTCTGAACGAGTTGCAGGGACGAATTACTCGGGACATTATTGGCGATTCTTACATTAATTTAATTTTGACGATTCTGATCACAAGCTACATTGAATCGCATTAGGCAAACGTAACATGGTATATATTTCTAAAATATGTACAATCTCAGTCTAAATGAATAATCAAAACGTCAGTAAGGCTCAAAAATATCTCATGCCGGGCTAAATTTAATATACGGTCCGGTTAATGAATTCACTATTTACATCGTCACACTCGTATAACATTCGGAAGTAGGATTTCCTATTTCCAGGGAAAGACGGCGGTATAGTGGGAAACTGTGGCGACCGCGGCAGTGAGTGACCGCACTACGGTTGGCTAACCATCGCACTTGGCTGACCATACCTGACTCATTACTGTACAGACTTCCCAGCCACGACGCCTGTACACAGCCTAGACAAGATATGCCACAGTTTCGTGCAAATATCCTATGTTAAACTTCTGCACTTAATTACTTACGGTCGGTGATGAGTGTCTCAAAACAAGTCTTCAAGTGATTTGATTGCAGTCCAGAAACTCAACGATCAGGGGACATTGGAAATACAGATCATGAATCCCAAAGGTCATGGGAGTCTTGAGAAACTAGGTCAGAAAGCTTAGAGAATTTGAGATGAAGAGATACGAATATCATAGAGTAAGAACATAGTACCTAGTAAAACCCCTTTAAAAACTACATATTTCAACTTGGTAAGAGCAGAAAAAATAAAACCGAGAGGACCACGAATAAGAAAACTTGGAGAATTTGAGATCAAGAAATAGCTAAATACAGAAAAAGAACCATGATCCTAGTAACTTGGAAAAAGAAACCTTGTAAGACCAGAAATAGAATAACTTGAATACTGAAACACAGAGACAATTTATTGTACTTGAATGGTATAAAAACCTAATTCCTAAGATATTTAACAAATTACCATCCTAAGCTAAGATTTGTAACTAACCAAGCTGGAGTAGTTGTTAGTTAAAAAAAAATATTCTCTTCGTTTTACTTGATGTAACATGCTGTAAGAATATTTTACTAGGAATATTTTACCTTGGCGACAAACCCCATTGACAATAGAACTGGCTACAAGAGGAGTTATTGCGAATAGCACATTTGACAAACCTTCTTTGGACTCGGCGCGGAATACCTGCCTGCTATGGATGGAAACAACACGATTTGATTTCGTGAGAATATGTTTAGTTTCTGCTTTGAACTGCGTAGTGTTCCAAGACCGAATTGACATATTTCAGATCCGAATAACACCACCAATTAATTGTTTAGGTGGCCGTGTAAATTATAATGCTCACCTTCAAATCTAAATGTCTCTAGTTGGATTCCACGCGAGATCGTTACTGGATCTAGATTCCGTTTGGTTATCATTTAATGATGCTATCTAATAAAAGGTCGACTTTAGATGGTAACAATATTAAGGTCTAGGAACGTTCCGTTGCAAACCCCTTAAAAATGTGTCAAAGATAAACCAAAAGACTTATTTTAACATTTTATTTTTTTTATTTTTAGGACAGTTGAAATATACATTGCAATGATTATGGTCTACAAAACTTAATACTACAACTTGGAGGGGAACCGACTCACGACTATCATTAATAATAAAAACGTAAAGACAAGGAGTCCCAAGCTGTCACATTATAGCACTAAAAGACGTGACCAAACCACCATCACCAAAACACCAAAACATCATTCTCGATAAAAAAAATGGCAAACCTATTTTCAACTAGGCCTAATCAAAAATCAACTTGAATTTGTTTTGGGTCGCACCCGAAAACTTTTAAGTTCAAGGTTTTCCACGTTCCACTCCTACTGTTCCCCCGGTCTACGTAGGAAGATCGGAATTCAGAGGTGCAAATGGAAGCGTTGTTCCACTTCTCTGTCTCACACACACGAAATTAGGAGAGTCGGACAAGAATGACGTCACAGTGTCACAGTCGGATAACGGCGTGTTGCACGTGACAACCGCGACACCGCGACATAGCAACCAGCGCACTCTGCACTCATTTGTCATAACAAATATAATATAAATAAACAACACTACAAATTAATAATATCTCATCATTAGGTAAAGGAAAAGGCGAAAAGACACTTTGGGCAGTGTTGGGAACTATATGTTTCGTCATAATCCGCCATTCTTTAAGCCAATCAACTCACAAATCCTAAATTTCCAACAAGTCTTAATAAATTAGGTTTCAAAACAGTGTTCATCAATTATTGTTACTATTAAACACTAACAGCTGTTACAGTTAATTAGAAGAAGTAGGTATTACTCCGCCGACACAATAATACCATAGACAAGTTTTTGTCTATGATAATACATTCCAACTTCAATTATCGAAATGTTTATCTGTCTTAATTATACAAGTTGGGCATTTGTTGTAATGAAATATACAACGTGACAAGATGGTAAATATAAGAACTTATTAACGATACAATAGTATTTTTACTAATCGGGACTATTTTGTTAAGACATATCAGAGAAGGAATTTAAAATTCAGTTCATGTAACGATGCTCAAATTTAAATTAGTACAAGCTGCTATACCCGTGCTTTGCAACGGGAAGAAAATGTGACCTCGAGAGCTATTAAAGTGGTGCTGATGTGTGTTTTAAAATACAGCAACTCTATGATTTAGTTTGAAAATAAAACGATTTAAAAAGCGTAAACCTACTTACTTTCAAACCCCTACTTTTGATGTTAATAGATCCCTAAGAATATGACAACATACCTCAAAGTTGTAATAGCATCAATTATTGCTTCATATAGATGCTTCATGAATGACATGTTTTACAATTTTCTTCAATTTTAGTCCAGCCTCTTCACAAAAAAATGAAACTTTGAGCAATACTTTACAAAACATATACAACCTCACTTTAAAACCAAACATAACCCTCCTCAATCTACATAAAGCAAAACAAACATCTTATTCGAGTAAATAAACAAACACCAGCTCATTGTACTGACCAGCTGTTTCATTAACAAAATTAAATTAAATCATTTTAACATTGGAAGCATGCCAGGGGTAGCCCTTTGGAAATCAGCCTGTGGGGCAGAGCCCTTAAGAAATTCGTCCATATCAATACTTTTCTGCATATCTACACACTCTAAGCTTCATTTTGATGTGCTATATGCCTATATTTTTATTTGGTAAATGACCTTAACCGTTTACATAAAATTTGATTGTATCACTTTAATAATATAATAGATAATGCGTGATAAACTTGCTAATGCAAAGTTTTAACAGGTGTTTTTCTGTTTCAGAGTACATGACGTGCTGATATAGTTTTCAGCACCTCCAAGACTTCCTGGCGGTGCTTCTTCCCACCTTACAACATAGTTATTAGTGTGAGTAGTTATTCTTATTTTTCAATAGAAATCTGTATTAAATGAAGAATTTCTGTTGAACATTCTGGACAATAGTGGAAAAGTTGTTTTGGTCAAGTTTACAAATAGCATATTATTTATATCCAACTGTTCTTTTTATTTATTGTAGCCATCCCGTTTTGTTATTTTTTGATTTGGTAACATGTACAAATTGAGATGTTCGTTGGAATGAATGAATACCAATTATTAAAGAATAAAACTAACAAATAAAAAGGCCAAGTGGTCTGAAATAATATATTTTATTGAGATTTACATGTCCTAAAAACATCATTAGAAATAAACAAAAAGCATTTGCATATTATATAGTTCAGCTAAAAACTCCTTTAGTGTGAGAAAAATCGATCTTCCACGAAAATTATATAAAAATGACTAAAGCTTAGTTATTTTTGCAATACCAAACACAAATTGCCAAGACCACCAACTCTTCTCCTAACGGTGCATTTCAACGCATTCCTCTATCTGGCCATTCATAAACGTAATCTACATAATCATATAAACCAAACGAAAACCTTCTGATTAAACCAACTTGGAGCGAACAATACAAGTTCGTTAATTCGACGGCGATAAATAGCAAAGAGTACACCATCAACCGACTGTGTTTACAGTGCATTGTTCTCTACAGCCGTAACAGTGTGTTAATGATTACGTCCACGCGATGACCGCGCATGTCATATACACCGCGCATGCGCAGTGACGCAACCTTGTACTGCGCCGACTCACTCATTAGTGGATCAACCTGGGTTATTAGCGGGGAAAACTACGGAACTAGTGTTATTGTGGGAAACTTGTAATGAGGGGGTATAAATTGAATTATAGTCTAGGTGTAAAAATATTTAGTTGCGATTCCAATTAGACATTTGTTGTAATCGCGTCGTAAAAGGCAAGCCTTGTTTATTGCAACGAGTCTGAAAATGTTTATACTATAATACTATAAGCCTATGGGTCCATTGCCAGTTAGTTTGAATTGCTTCGGTGTGTATTTGCATTGAATACTGTTGAAATAGTTTCTTTAATTCATTCATCCATTCCTTAAAATGCTAGCGCATATAAAACTGATTCTATGTGACCTGAGTGGTGGATCAAGTAAAATGCATCGATTAACTTTGTTACTGACTAAAACCCCCATCTGTATGAACCTGTTGTAGTAAATCTTTTTATTAAGTAAGAAGTTAGTTGAGCTACTTAAAGAGTTTGCTGCAGTAATATGTTTGTGATATATAAGTGCTCTTTACTAAGATATTCTGTCAGTTTGGTTTGCTTACGAAATTTCTTTACTCAAAATAATCAATTTATATCAGTACACGGTAACTCCTTTAGTCACGAAAATTGTCAGTACAAAACTGACAATAACTTTAACACGGCAATGAAATGTCCAATTGCAGCTATAATCAAAGTTATTAATTATCAATGCAGATCCGTGTTGCCAACAGTTGGTAGGATTACAGTAGACTAGGATTACTATCGACACAGAATGCCAAGGTGAGGTGTGAGGTATGATGATGCTACCGTTACGACGCTTATCACAGCGGGAGTTCTCAAACATATTGAATTACCAGCAATATCTGGTGTATACCGGGGACTGAGGACCGCTACCCCGCTAACTGACGGTTCGACAGTTCGGGGTCGTTGTGTTGGAATTTGATTAGCACAACTTGCCATCAACTGCCATCCTTAGTTTCGTTACTAGACATATTAACTTAGTCAAATTAAATAAATTTATTTTGCACGCCAGATACTATTCTTAATTAGCGTCACACAAGAACGTTGACTAGTTGGCTAAAGAAAGACATTGGGTCAGTATTTTGTACAAGTATTACACAAATTTTAATATTGTAAAAATTTTTGTGGATCTAAACCATTAAGGTTAATATTTAATGAGACATATAAGGTAAAATTTTAGAAACACTATGTCAAAGAAACTCAAAGTTTCACACACAACTGGCAGGGAAACGGTATTGTTTTATAACAGGTATAAAACAAACCAAAAAACAGTTATTTCCATTTCCCAGTTCATAACTTAATGAGAACCACATTCCAGTGTGATCTGTCTCCAGAAGCTCAGCTGTAACGGCGAAACAGTCATAATTCACTCAGAGACATCCTTCTAGCCAGCCGAGTCCTGGGAATGACAATGTTAAGGTTTACCAAATTTCCTGTTTTGGGCTATCCGCGAATACATTCATTTTATTGACTTGCATTTAAATACGGTTAAAGAAAGGTTTCTTGGCGTTCCATATTGTTTAACAAAAACATTGATTAACCAATAGCACAAAATAATAACACACAAATAAAAAAATCTTTGATTTTACTACTGCATAGGAGGCAGAAGTTGCCTAGCATTGATAAAAGCCCAAAACTGAATATACGGATCCAGCAGATTTTCAGAGAGTAACACCATTATGCCATTGGTGAGTTGGAGTTTTTGAGGCAGAGTTCACTCATGACACTTGACGAAGGCTCTGAAGTAATGTGTATAAAGGTTCCGGACTACACAGATCCTAGCGTCCCAGGATTTGAATTTGATCTATACAATTTCTAATCGATTAATTTCCTCTAACATTCCCCAATCCCTCCACTATCTAATACACACTGGGAACTAAGCATTGAGGTCGACATGTTCACACCATATAGTGCAATAAACCTACCCATAACAATAACTAACAGAGCCTGCTCGCTGCTCGCACTTCCCGCAAACGTGTTCACCTATCAGCGAATATCACGAGCTTGGAATGTTCCCACAAACATCTCAATATCCGAGATTATGATCGTAATTCGCAATAAAGATACACCGTTTCCTGCAAGGAAATGGGAAAGTAATCGATCTGGTTGGATCGGTCAACTGTAACTCGTCCACGCAACAGCCAACAGCTGACAACGTACGGTGTCTTGACCTTGTCCTACAAGCAGTGTCTGCTGCAGCCCACTCTGTCAATTCTTCCAAGTTGAACTGCCTTGAACCCGTGTCACTTTGTCTCTGATGACGTAGGTCATAGGGTAATGGCTGGCGACTGAACCTTTCTTAAGCCTCAGATTTAAATATATTCTCTCAAGCTGGACTAAGAATTTTCTTTGCTCTGCATATAGCAAATTACTGCAACAATCTAAATAAGCAAATCTGGGTAACCATTATTTTTCATTTCGAGTGTTTCAATGTCGCTGGCGGTTTTACGTTTATCTAAGAGCTTTATCCATATCCTGGTTTTGTAACTGTCCATTATTGTCCTTTTGTACGATTAAGATAATTTATTGTTTATTGGTATTGAAAAAATATAAATTCTGCTTGACTAAACAAGGTTTAAAAGTTCAACTTGTAATCCGGAAGTCAACGGTTCAAGGTTTAAACAAATCTATAGTTCAAAGACTCCTAGATGGAATCAAGAACCAGCATTCCTCTGAGACTTCTTAAATTCCGATTGATCGCGACTAAATAATCGGCTGATCTTAGTCAGAAATAAAACAGGAATCTCAATAATTCTTCAATCATCCTTCAGTTTCTTCCGCCATAAACCACATACTCTGATAATAGAGTTTTATAAGTCAATAAATTTACTAATGAATTTTTTGAACAGCGTCAAGTTGCTTGGTCTTGCCTCTTTGGTTACATTTACGATTGTTCATGTCTTTAGTCACACAAGCAACATATTCAAAACTGTCGACGTTTCCACTCCATGTTTCTTGCGAATGATGAGCGATAATTTCAACAAGTAAACCTCGTTGGACCAACGATTTATTTCAAAAATATACACAACTAAATCACATTTCTACAAACATTCAGTAGAGGCTCAGCCAAGCCGCAGACCCTGACCGTGCGGCTGAGACCACAACTCCATTAAAATAAGGAACTAGTTATACGACGCCTCCAGCCTCCAGCAGGTGAGTCAGTCGAGGTATTTAAACCCAAAGTGTGTCAGCAGGTATCACGTGACCCCTGGCTCCGGTCACTCGGCTCATTTCGGCGGGAATCGTCCCGCCAACCTGACACATGACCGTGGAAATAATACAGGGTTCATTGCCGAAATTCTAACAATGATCCCAACGTAGCGATTAAAACTTTCTTTGTAACAGGACCTCGACGCAGCGTGGTGTTCTGCCTAATCACGAGGTTGTAAGTTCGATCCTGAGAACTTTGTTTGAACCTTATATTTTGGTTTAATTTTGTCTGCAATACAAAGGTATCATTTTTACGCTTCTGAATAATGAGGAGGCTAAGGAATCCACTAATTAGTGTTTCTGATTGCTTTTTCTGCACTCGCATCCGCCCTAAAACCAGTGGATTTGTAAGAACTTTATGGAAAATCATGGAAATTACTAAGACTTCTATAATTTAAAAAGAGAGAATATTTTTTACCCGATGCGATTACCAAAAGTAAGACGAAGCCAACGGAATGTTAGCTAGGGTAGTAGGGTAATATTCAAAGGAATGTTATCACGTACGTTTTGTCAAGTATGGTACCGACAAATCGTCAAAAGAAGAGTACACATTGAAAATTTACATTCATATATATATATTCAAACTTAATTTATTGAAACTTACCAAATATTTAAAAAAGCATTCAGCGCACATCATCGTCACTATCAATCTTCATTTTGTGTCTGTTACACTCCTAATAAAACTATATGCGAACAGAAGGTTAGGCAGATTAAGAACTTAACGGAATAATGTACGTCATAAAGCAATGAAACACGATCGAAACGTCAACTCCTACCAGTTTCTTTGTTTAAACTTAGTTTGTAATGATATTAAGACATAACTTGGCAAACTAAGGAAGTCGGCGAGGTTGGACCACCTCTGTGCAAGGTCTAAGGTCAGACAGGATCGTGGTTATGAGGTTGCGCTGCCTCAGCCAGATATGATACTGACACCAGCAATCTTTGGTGTGGTATTACTTTGATAGATCGTGCAATACTTTGTTGTTGCAAGGAAGCACATTTGAATTCTACGGTATGTTCTGATACTTGAA